CCAGCTGCGCCCCAACTTCACCTATTTTCTACTCACAACTGCAAAAAACAGCTCATGGGCTGAAGATTTGATCTCAGCTGTGACGAACTGTCAGCCATCTATGACACCTGGCCCCTGCGCAGCATAGCGCCGGACTTCACACGAGGCCGTCAGCAAAACCTACAAGCAGTGAAACGCCACCCTCAGTAAGTGGCCTGAGCCCCGGGAAGCCTTTTTCAGAGCAGAAGCAGATGAGGAGCTGCCCTTCCACAGCCCTGCTTTACCTGGCCATCTGCATTCACTGAAGAGATTCTTTTGCTCCTGTTATTCCTCTGCTCAGACCCTCAGTGGCTTCCCCGCTCTCTCCATCCTAGCAGTGGCCTTTGGCCTGGTTCAGCTTCTCAGAGCTCTTCTCCTAGTGCTGGACCCCTTCCCAGCTCCCCTCCACTCCATCTAGTGCTGGACCTTTCCCAGCTCCCTCCACTCCCATCCTAGTGCTGGACCCCTTCCCAGCTCCCTCCCTCTCCTAGCCAGCAGGCCTCACTCTGTGTTCCTCAAACACACCAGGCATGCGCTCAGCTCCCAGGCTTCACCGTGCTGTTCTCTTGCCTAGAATGCCTTTCCTTCCCTGGACAGCAACACGCTTGCCCCTCACCTCCTTTATGTCTTTATTCCAATGTCCCCTCCTCAGTGAGGGCTCTCACCAAGCTGCCCTGTCTAAAATGGCACAGCTACCCACACTTCCTGTTTGCCTTCCCTGCTTTATTTTTTCTCCTTGGCATTTATAATTATAACATATTTTATAATTTTCACAGGTATCTTTTTATTATTCATTCATGACTGTATCCTTACTACCCAGAGCAATGCCAGCCACTTAGCTCAATAAATATTTGTTAAATGACTGACTGAATGGATGTGTGAACCAACTATGAAATGGAAATGGCAGAGGGCTCAGAAACAGACCAGTGAGTTTCACTCCCTCTCTGTTCTGGACAAATGTGATGTCCGTTTAGATATGACCCCTCAGAGTTTTCTTTCTTTCTTTCTTTTCTTTCTTTTTTTTTTTTTTAGAGCGGGGTTTCACTCTTGTTGCCCAGGCTGGAGTGCAGTGGCATGATCTCGGCTCACTGCAACCTCTGCCTCCCGAGTTCAAGCGATTCTCCTCGCCCAGCCTCCTGAAGTGGCTGGGATTACAGGTGCCGTCACCATGCCTATTTCATTTTTAGTAGAGACAGGTTTCACCATGTTGGTCAGCCTGGTCTTGAACTCCCGACCTCAGGTGATCTGCTGGCCTCGGCCTCCCAAAGTGCTGGGATTACAGGCATGAGATACCACGCCCGGCACCCTTCAGGTTTCAGTCCTTTGCAAAGGAGTACAACTCTGTAATGGTCTAAACAAATCTGCTCTCTAGTGCAACTTTTTGTCATACAGCATAGCACCATGTTCAGGAAAGAATCGAAAGGAGCTCTTTTGAGAGGCTGGGGAGAGAGAAGAGAATAAGATTTGGCTGGAGTGGGCAATGCAGTCCCAGCCTGCTGTGCGTCAGTCGAGAGCAGGTACACAGAATAATTCCATATATCTTCCAGAGGTGGGGCACCATCCTTAGAGATACCTCCTATTAAGTTGAGAAGAGAGGAGCTGATAAAGCAGGAGACTGCCCTCCTCTGGAACCCCATCCCCTCTTGTGTTTCAGATCAGTGATTGCCGCCCTCCATCAATGGTGGTCGTGTGATTAAACCTACAAAGGGAGCAGACCACGCTGATTGTTACCATGCGCGCTGGGAGTGCCACCTTCCTCCAGAACCTTAGCTGTACTGACTTTAAGCTCTTTGGTAAGAATGTTTGGCTGGGGAGAGTGGGGAGGTGGGTAGGGATGGGGAATGAGAGTCAAACTTAAGGAAATTTTGCATTGCTATACCCAGCAAAACTTGCCCGTCACTCTTTCATTTGAATATCCAGGACCGGCATTTCTGAGGAACGATACATATAACTCAAATAGGTGCCCCCCAGTAAGTAGTAGTGACAGGCTTATGGTGATTTGGTCAGATAGGTAGAGTGAATCTGGGCACATAGAACTGATTCAAGGCTGGGCGCGGTGGCTCATGCCTGTCATCCCAGCACTTTGGGAGGCCGACGCAGGTGGATCATCTGAGGTCAGGAGTTTAAGACCAGCCTGGCCAACACAGTGAAACCCCATCTCTACTAAAAAAACAAAAAAATAGCCAGGCATGGTGGCGGGTGCCTGTAGTCCCAGTTCTTCGGGAGACTGAGGCAGAAGAATCGCTTGAACCTAGGAGGCAGATGTTGCAGTGAACTGAGATCGCATCACTGCGCCAGCCTGGGCAATAGAGCGAGACTCCATCTCGAAAAAGAAAAGAAAAAAAAACTGACTCGAGATCATTTAATCTCAATCTGATCATATGCAGTCATCTAATCATTATGCTTATTCACAAAGTATTAGAATAATCAAGTGCAACATTTAAAATGACCAATTTACAACATTTTTATATCTATTAAAGGAAAGAAGAGATCTAATGTAGACAAGACTTAAAGAAATATAAAATACTTTCATTTGGTACCTTTCTTGCTCTTACATGCAAGTACCGTGTTGCCTAGCTGTGTCTCTCCTTGCCTGATTTCCTGGACTAGGACCCAGTAACGTACCATCGCTTCCTCTCCATAAAGGTGTGAGAGACCCTGAGCCCTCCGTTAGGCAAAGGATCCCAGCACAAGGGATGCTGCCTGTTGCCAGCACTAATTCTGTAGGTGACTGTTCTTGGCTAAACCAAAGCCCCAGGGGACATATCTGATTCATTTGCCTCTCTGCCTGACGTTCTTTCTCCATTATATCAGAGGACCTTTGCCACATCCCTTTTGCCTCATGCGTCCTCTGAGTGTGAGACAATTTTGCCCCACGTGCGTCCTTCCAGGCGCAAAACAACGGCGTTGGGAGATTTTGTTCTCCACGGGCTCCAGCTCCCTGGAGGGACGATGGTCTGGAAATTGCGTTCATCTGTTCTCTGTCACTTCCTTTCAATCTGCTGTTCTAGGGAGGTTTTCCTATTTTCTTAGAAAAGAGTGTAAGTTGGATCAGATGTGTAGCAGTGTTTCACTACAGTCTGGTTTGGCTGGCAGCACTTAACCTGGGGAGGTGCCTGGAGGACCTGGCCTTGATCCTCCATCCCCAGCATGTGCCATCCTGGTGAAAGCCGAGGCTGCCCTTTGGGGTTTCTTCCGGTGAGGAAACTGCTTTTCCTCTGTGGTGTCCCCGTTACAATCAGTATGTTGGACTGGTGCCACCTCCTTCCAGCTGGGAGCGTGACCAGGATCGCGATACCAGCCTTGCTCAAAGGAAATGACCAATGAGATTTGTCTGGGGAGTGGGAGGTGGCCTGAGAGGTGGGGCCCCGCACCAGCAATCAGGGTGTTGGATGAGGATGCATCAGACCACAGAGCTGAGAATTTCCTGGCTCTCAACGTTCTCATCTCCCCCAGGGGCAGAGAATGCACAGGACGTTGCTGGACACCCAAGTCGTTGGAGCCATTCCTCTGGAGATTCTAGCAAAGAAGTGATGCCAAGATTGGCTTGGCATCACCCTCCAGCCCAGGACTGTGGTCTGCCATTGCAATGCAGAGAGCCAGTGTTTGTACAACCAGACCAGCAGAATTGAGCAACTCCTCCCTGGAAGTGAGTGTTGGGAGGCAGGTGAGGAGTTTCTGTGCCGGGAGAGAAGCGAGGAGTGGAGCGGATGCTGTGATTCTGCCTCTCCTGGGTGTGTCTGTGTTGGGAGAATTAGAATTGGAGCAGATTCAGTCTCAGGCCATAAACTCACATGGGAAGAAAGAGAAACTTTCTGGCTGGAGTGCAGTGGCTCATGCCTTTAATCACCCAGCACTTTTGGAGGCTGAGGCAGGCGGATCACAGGTCAGGGAGATCAAGACCATCTGACCAGCATGGTGAATTATCTCTGCTAAAAATACAAAAACTAGCCGGGCGTGGTGGCGGGCACCTGTAGTCCCAGCTACTTGGGAAGCTGAGGCAGGAGAATCGCTTGAACCCGGGAGGTGGAGGTTACAGTGAGCCAAGATTGTGCACTCCAGCCTGGGCAACAGAGTGAGACTCCATCTCAAAGAAAGAATGAAAAGAAAGGAAAGAAAGAAGGAAGGAAAGAAAGGAAAAGAGAGACAGACAGACAGACAGACAGAAAGAAAGAAAGAAAGAAGAAAGAAAAGAAGGAAGGAAGAAAGGGAAGGAAAGGGAAAGAGAAACAAAGATAAAGAAAAGGAGAGAGAAAGAAAGAAAAGAAAGAAAAGAAGAAGAAAGAAGCTTGATTGCTTACAGTTCAACTGTTGGTAGTGTTGGTGGTGGTGGTGGTGGCGATGGAGGTGGTGATGGTGGTAGTGTTGGTGGTGGTGGTGGTGACAGCAGTGGCAGCACCTGTTGTATCGAGGCCTCACTCAGTTCTGAGGGATTCGCAGATGTTACTGCATTGAATCCTCACTGTACAGCTAGGTAGTGCTACTTTAATCCCTTTTACACAGATGTGAAAACTAAGAATCAGAGAGGGTCAGTAAGTTGTCCGTGATCACCAAGCTAGTAAGTGTGGGGATCAGCAGTTGAATCCGTCACTGCCTAACTCCAGAAACTGGCTCTTAACCATCACAATACACTGTCCCTAGAGTCTGTCCTGCTCCAAACCCTCTGCTTGTTGAAGGGAAACAAACAGAAATGAGGCCTGAACTCTCTTGTTTTCATGCCCCTGTCTCGTGACCAAGCGGACCTGCCAGTTTCTTGCAGAAGCGGAATTGGTTAGAGCCTCCTACCTCTGCCCATCTGTCTCGTCCCCTCTGCTGCTCAGTGCTGGGGCTCGACAATGGGGGTTGGCTGACCCACTGACCCACTGCCTGCCTAGCTGGCTGACCAGCTGCTGACTGGCCAGCGGGATGAATGGACGCCTTGCAACCGCGAGGCAAGAGCCTGTGCATGACAGAGGCCTGAGAGAGTCTCTCCTTCCCTGCAGTGGAGATGGCTATTTCGAAAACAGCCCACTGATGTCCCAGCCAGTGTGGGAGAAGTATCGCCCTGATAGATTCCTGAATTCCAGCTCAGGTAAAAGTGCCACCTTATCACCCCTGCGCTGGTCTCAAGCCCTCGTGTGTCCTCCAGCCCACACACCACCGCAGTCCTAGAGGGCCGCTCCCTAACGTCACCACCATCCTGAAGGGCCTCCCCTGCACAGTCCAACCTCCTACAGGTCTAGGTGGGATGTGGCACCGCCCAGGGGGCCGCTGGTACCTCCTGCACCCCTGGACACAGCACCGTCTCAGAGGGGCTACGTCTTCTCCCTCAGATGAACCAACCCAAGAGGGCTCTCAGGGGGGCCCAGATCGCAGAAGTGAGGACAGGGTCTTGTGGGAGGTGGGATTTGAATGGGCAGTTCAGACAATTCTCCAAGTGTCCTGCCCAGAGCAGGAATGAGAACCCAGGTGAGCTCCTTTAAGAAAATCTACCGGCCGGGCGCAGTGGCTCACGCCTGTGATCCCAGCACTTTGGGAGGCTGAGGTGGGCGGATCACTTGAGGTCAGGAGTTTGAGACCCGCCTGGGCAACATGGTGAAACTCTGTCTCTACTAAATACACAAAAATTAGCCGGGCATCGTAGCGCACACCTGTAATTCCAGCTACTCGAGACGCTGAGGAAGGAGAATCGTTTGAACCCGGAAGGTGGAGGTTGCAGCGAGCCGAGATCACTCCACTGCACTCCTGCCTGGGTGACAGAGCGAGACTCCATCTCAGAAAGAGAGAATCTACGAAGGAAAGGCCGACATTCATCATCATCATTTACTGGGCACCTGCTGTGTGCTGGACACTGTGCTAACAGCCAGAAACATTTTAAAATGGAAAAAGATCAACTATGTTTACTCTCAAAGAGCTTTCATGTGGGTAGAAAGACAAGTGTCAAGAGGCAGACGATGGCGCCTTCTCCGACTCAGTCCAGAGGCCCCAATGGGAAAGAAACAATAGTTTCCAAAATGTGATAGGATAAAGGACAGTTTAGCCTTAGAACCCAGCCACGTGAATTGTGAAGTATAAATCCAGTTCTATTTGTTCTGTGGCAACCACTTTTGGTAAAGAAACAGACGCTAAGTCAAGCAATGGGCTTCGGGGGAGGAATCCTTGCCCACCTGACGTGGGCCCTTTTTCTCTCCCCATCCCCGGACCCCAGGCCCAGGCCCTGGATAAGCCCTTTCTCTCTTCCCATCTCCTGACCCCAGGCCTCCGAGGGCTGCAGTTCTACAGGCTACACCGGGAAGAAAGGCCTAACTACCGTCTCGAGTGCCTGCAGTGGTTGAAGAGCCAGCCTCAGTGGCCCAGCTGGGGCTGGAACCAGGTCTCCTGCCCTTGTTCCTGGCAGCAGGGACGATGGGACTTACGATTCCAACCTGTCAGCATAGGTGACACCACCTTCCCGCCCCCCACAAGCTCACCCACCGCCCTCTCTGCTCGCGCCCTCTTCCCAGAAACAGCCCCTGCTTGTTCCCGCCCTGCCCCTGGCATCCCCGGCCTGGGCCTGAGTGGGACTGGACTTGTTTCAGGTCTCTTGGGCCTCGGCAGCAGGCAGCTCTGCAGCTTCACGTCCTGGCGAGGAGGCGTGTGCTGCAGCTACGGGCCGTGGGGAGAGTTTCGTGAAGGCTGGCATGTGCAGCATCCCTGGCAGTTCGGTGCGTGAGTCCATGGAGATCTCAACCCCACCTTCCCAGCCAAGCAGGGGACCCTCAGCATGAAGCCTCTTGTCCTCATTCCTTCCCAGACCCTTCCCCTCTCTGGGCCTCCATTTCCTGATCTGGTAACATTAGGAAGCTTCCAACATCCCCACCAGCGGACATTCGGGGATGTGTGAGCTGAGTGCCTCTTTGCCCATCTCCGTACCTGGCTCCACATCCCTAGGCCAGAGTGGGGCCATCTCTCCAGGCAAGAAGAGAGCGCCTAGGCTGACCCTGTCCCTGTAGACCCAGATGAGCAGGATGTTTGGGGGAAGACTGAGAATCAGCTCCCGCAGAGACCCTCCAAGGGAGCTGCAGAGCACAGGGGTGTGGGTCACGTGGTCTGTGTCCTCCCGTTCTCTCCCCTGTCCCTTGGCAGTTTCCCGTTCCCTGACTGTCAGCCATGCCCTCCCCACTCCCAGCACGTTGAGAGCGTCAGTACTTGGCTGTCCACCCTCCAGACAGGAAATCTGCTCCTACCATGCGCCCTGCTGCACAGTGGCCCCAGTGCCTGAAAGAGACAGCACCCTGTCCACTGCCCAGGGTCACGAGAGGGTCGTGCTGGATTCCAAAGCCATGCTCTTGCCACCAACACCACCCTGCCCCACCCAGCTCTCCACCAACACCGCCCTGCCCCACCCAGCTCTCCGGCTGGGTCCTCCAGGTCCTCAGCCTCCCTGACTCACTGCTCTTCTCTGCAGCCCCGGAACTGGAACCGCAGAGCTGGTGCTGCCTCTGGAATGACAAGCCTGACCTCTGTGCCCTGTACCAGCAGAGGCGGCCCCGTGTGGGCTGTGCTACATACAGACCCCCACGGCCTGGTGAGCGTCAGGGCCCAGGCCCAGGCAGAGCCTCTGGGGAGGGGGAGCTTCTGGACTTCCAGGAGGTGGCATCTGGATGAGGAGTAGGGGCAGAGCTGTGGCCACAAGGGAAGATGGAGATGACGCCAGTGATGGGCGGACGGCCAGTGGAGGGGCTTTGTACCTGGTGTTGGGGAAGGAGTGAGAATAGTGGGGCACAAAAGTGCAAGGAGCCTTGAGGGAAGGAATCTGTGCTCCGTGAACATCTCCCCTGCTGAGTCCACCTGGACAAGTGTCCCCCCTGACTACAGTGAGGAATCCCAGCCCTGAGTCCACCTGACAGGTGCCCCCCCAACTATAATGAGGAATCCCAGCCCTGAGTCCTCCTGACAGGTGCCCCCCGGACTGTAGTGAGGAATCTCAGCCCTGATTAGGTGCTCCCCAACTATAATGAGGAATCCCAGCCCTGAGTCCTCCCTGACAGGTGCCCCCTGACTGTAGTGTGTGAGGTGAATCTCAGCCCTGATTCCACCTGACAGGTGCCCCCCGGACTGTAGTGAGGAATCTCAGCCCTGATTCCACCTGACAGGTGCCCCCCTGACTATACTGAGGAATCTCAACCCTGATTCCACCTGACAGGTGCCCCCCGGACTGCAGTGAGGAATCTCAGCCGGGCACTTGGTTTGTCATGCTGAGGCAGCATCTCTTTTTTCCCCCCAGCCTGGATGTTCGGGGACCCCCACATCACCACCTTGGATGGTGTCAATTACACCTTCAATGGGCTGGGGGACTTCCTGCTGGTCAGGACCCAGGACGGGAACTCCTCCTTCCTGCTGCAGGGCCGCACCGCCCAGACTGGCTCAGCCCAGGCCACCAACTTCATCGCCTTTGCGGCCCAGTACCGCTCTGGCAGCCTGGGCCCCGTGACGGTGAGTGAGGGGCGCGGGGACCTTCAGCCACATACTGAGGCTGAGGAGAAGGAAGACAGCGAAGACAAGCCGGGCAGGAGGGAGGGAGCCACACCCCATCCGCGCACCTGTCCCGGAGTAAATCCTGGGGATGGGGGATTACGGCTCTGGCGCCACGGTTTCCCAGCTGTTTGGCTTCGAAGAAACTACTTAACTTGGTTTTCTCCTGGTAAGAACGGGGATAACATGACTTGCCTCACGGGCTGTTGTGAGAGCTAAAGGGGATCATCCGAAAACCATGCCTGGCCCTGCGGAGCACACCGTAGACGGGGGCTGGCGTCACTCGGGCCGCGGCCTCCAGCGCCTTCCTCCAGGCCCAGGGCGCAGCTTCCAGCCCCGGGGGCTCTCCCAGCCGCTCTCCTGGGCGTCGGCTCCACCTGCGGGTCGGGCTCAGACCCCTTCCCATCTCCTTCCAGGTCCAATGGCTCCTTGAGCCTCATGATGGAATCCATGTCCTGCTGGATAACCAGACTGTGACATTTGAGCCTGGCCATGGAGACGGCGGAGGTGGGCTGGGGAGCGCCTATCTCCGGCAGCAGCGAGCTGGGCGGGAAGCCGTGTTGCTGTGCAGGGCCGAGCGCGTTGCGGTGCAGGGTCCAGCGTGTGGCGGTGCGCGCCTCCAGGCCCAGGGCGCAAGCTTCCAGCCCGGCTCCCAGCCGCTCTCCTGGGCGGCTCCACCCAAGTAAGTGCGCCTGTGACCCCTCCCATTCCTTCCAGGTCCAATGGCTCCTCTTCTTGAGCCTCATGATGGAATCCATGCCCTAAGCTGGATAATCAGACCAGACATTTGAGCCTGGGCCATGGAGACGGCGGAGGCTGGGAGCGCCTATTCCGGTAGAGGCAGCGAGCTGAAGCGGTTATGCTGCAGAATGAAACGCCGTGCAGGGTCCAGTGGCGCAGGTGGTCCAGGCGTGGCGTGGTGGGTCCAGTGCGGAAGTGTGCAGGGTCCAGGGCGTGGCGGTGGTGGGTCCAGTGCGTGGCGGTGCAGGGTCCAGGGCGGTGCAGGGTCCAGCGTGGCGGTAGGCCGAGCGCTGCAGGGTCCAGCGTGTGGCGGTGCAGGGTCCAGGGCGCTGGGCGGTGGGGTCCAGGCGTGGCGGTGCAGGGTCCAGTGCGTGGCGTGCAGGTCCAGGCGCATGTGTGCAGGGTCCAGTGGGCGGTGCAGGGCCGACGCGGCGGTGCAGGGTCCAGTGCGGCGCGGTGCAGGGTCCAGTGCGTGGCGTAAAATGAAGCGGCCAGTGCGTGGCGGTGCAGGGCCGAGCGCGTTGCGGTGCAGGGTCCAGGGCGTGGCGGTGCAGGGTCCAGTGCGCGCAGCCTCTTTCCCCGGAGCGGGGCCTGCAGCTCGCCGGCCTCTTCTCCCGCCTCCAGTGCAGATTCCTCCCGGCTTCAGCCCCGGGGCAGAGGGAGGGGCACGGGCAGGGGCAGGGGGAGGCGGGGTGCGGGCCGGGCGGGGCGCGGGTTCGGTGGGGGCCGCGGTGCCGACCTGGCTTCCTCTCCGCGCCCTCCCGATGCTCCAGGCCAGGAGACGGTCAACGCCACCGGAGTCGTCCTGAGCCGCAGCGGCTCCGTGGTCTCTGCCAGCTTCGATGGCTGGGCCGCCGTCTCGGTGGTCGCGCTCTCCGGCATCCTCCACGCCTCCGCCAGCCTCCCGCCCGAGTACCAGGACCGCACGGAGGGGCTCCTGGGTGAGGGCGCGGACCTGCCTCTGAGGCTCTACGGAGCCGGAGCTCGGACCCCCACGCCCGCGGGCCCGGGCAGCTGCTCGGCCTCCCTTCCTCCGCCTCCTTGGAGCAGAACCCTCGGGGCACGGAGCGGGCCGGGAGCGGAGGGGCTTCTCCAGCCGCCACCGAGGCACCCTTTCTGGTCACCTCCCGCTCTAAGGGAGCATCAGGGGCGGGCTCCGGGGAGTCGGGGGCGGGGTCGCAGCCATCCTTTGGCCCTTTCCTCTGGCCTCCCACATCCTCCCGCCCTCCTCCATGGCTGCCCGCGTTCCTCCCACCCCTCCCGGAGGCAGCCGCGCAGGCTGTGAGGGCCCGTCCTCCCGGCTCCCCTGGAGGCCTGACAGCAGGTGCCACGACAGAGGCTGCCAGGCCCTGGCCTCTCCCACTGTGTTCACTGGATGCTCCCCAGGAAGGGGACAGCTGTGTGCCCAGGGTGGCCAACCTCCCACTCTGACTGTCCCTCAGGAGTCTGGAATAACAATCCGGAGGACGACTTCAGGATGCCCAATGGCTCCACCGTTCCCCCAGGGAGCTCCGAGGAGACGCTTTTCCACTACGGAATGACCTGTGAGTCTGGGCAGGGTCTTGGGGCAGAAGGCGCAGGTAAGGAGAGCCAGTGTGTTTAGGTCGTCCCGCTCAGCCCTGTAGGAAGCAGACCTCCATCCTCCCTGAGGTCTGGGGAATCTGTGCCCCCCCCCCCCCCCCCAGGACCAGCGCACCTGCCTTTCTCTAGCTGGAGGAGAGAATGGGGTAGGTCGAGTGTCCTCTGTCACTGCAGCAGGCGTTTCCAGACTCAGAAGCTAGAAACCGCTGTGGCCCTGCACTCCCACGGCCTGCTCCAAGCCACATAAAGTGAGGGGTAGGGGTGGACACAGAAGGAATAAGGCTGAGTGCCATGCCCGGTACCATCACGCTCTGTGTGTTACAGGGCAGATCAACGGGACAGGCCTCCTTGGCAAGAGGAATGACCAGCTGCCTTCCAACTTCACCCCTGTTTTCTACTCACAACTGCAAAAAAACAGCTCATGGGCTGAAGATTTGATCTCCAGCTGTAATGGAGACAGCTCATGCATCTATGACACCCTGGCCCTGCGCAACGCAAGCATCGGACTTCACACGAGGGCCGTCAGCAAAACCTACAAGCAGGTGAACGCCACCCTCAGTAAGTGGCCTGAGCCCCCGGGAGGCCTTTTCAGAGCAGAAGCAGATGAGGAGCTGCCCTTCCCTGACCCTGCTTTACCCTGTGCATCTGCATTCACTGAAGAGATTCTTTTGCTCCTGTTATTCCTCTGCTCAGACCCTCCAGTGGCTTCCCCCGCTCTCTCCATCCTAGCAGTGGCCTTTGGCCTGGTTCAGCTTCTCAGAGCTCTTCTCCTAGTGCTGGACCCCTTCCCAGCTCCCTCCACTCCATCCTAGTGCTGGACCCTTTCCCAGCTCCCTCCACTCCATCCTAGTGCTGGACCCCTTCCCAGCTCCCTCCACTCTAGCCCGGCAGGCTCCTCTGTGTTCCTCAAACACACCAGGCATGCGCGCTCAGCTCCCAGGCTTCACACGTGCTGTTCTCTTGCCTAGAATGCCTTTCCTTCCCTGGACAGCAACACGCTTGCCCCTCACCTCCTTTATGTCTTTATTCCAATGTCCCCTCCTCAGTGAGGGCTCTCTGGGCTGCCCTGTCTAAAATGGCACATTCACCCACACTTCCTGTTTGCCTTCCCTGCTTTATTTTTTTCTCCTTAGCATTTATAATTACTCAACATATTTTATAATTTTCACAGGTATCTTTTTTATTATTCATTCATGACTGTATCCTTACTACCCAGAGCAATGCCAGCCACTTAGCTCAATAAATATTTGTTAAATGACTGACTGAATGGATGTGTGAACCAACTATGAAATGGAAATGGCAGGGCTCCAAGAAACAGACCAGTGAAAAGGTTTCACTCCCTCTCTATTTCTGGACAAATGTGATGTCCGTTTAGATGTGACCCTCCAGGTTTTTTTCTTTCTTTCTTTCTTTCTTTCTTTTTTTTTTTTAAGACGGGGTTTCACTCTTGTTGCCCAGGCTGGAGTGCAGTGGCATGATCTCAGCTCACGGCAACCTCTGCCTCCCGAGTTCAAGCGATTCTCCTGCTTCAGCCTCCTGAGTAGCTGGGATTACAGGTGCCCGTCACCATGCCTAATTTTGCATTTTTAGTAGAGACAGAGTTTCACCATGTTGGTCAGCCTGGTCTTGAACTCCCGACCTCAGGTGATCTGCTGGCCTCGGCCTCCCAAAGTGCTGGGATTACAGGCATGAGATACCACGCCCGGCACCCTTCAGGTTTTCAGTCCTTTGCCAAAGGTACAACTCTGTAATGGTCTAAACAAATCTGCTCTCTAATTCGCTTTTTGTCATACCCAGCATAGCACCATGTTCAGGAAAGAATCCGAAAGGAGCTCTTTTTGAGGAGGCTGGGGGAGAGAGAGAGAGGCTAAAGATTTGGCTAGGTGGGCAGTACAGTCCCAGCCTGCTGTGCGTCAGTCGAGAGCAGGTACACAGAATAATTCCTTCTTCCAGAGGTGGGGCACCATCCTGGGAATGCCTCACACATATTAGAGTTGAGAAAGAGAGGAGGCTGATAAAGCAGGAGACTGCCCTCCCTCGGAACCCCCATCCCCTCTTTGTGTTTCAGATCAGTACCCGCCCTCCATCAATGGTGGTCGTGTGATTGAAGCCTACAAGGGGCAGACCACGCTGATTCAGTACACCAGCAACGCTGAGGATGCCACCTTCACACTCAGAGACAGCTGTACTGACTTTAAGCTCTTTGGTAAGAATGTTTGGCTGGGGAGAGTGGGGAGGTGGGTAGGGATGAGGTCAGAGTCAAACTTCGGGAAATTTTGCATTGCTATACCCAGCAAAACTTGCCGTCACTCTTTCATTTGAATATCCAGGACCGGCATTTCTGAGGAACGATACATATAACTCAAATAGGTGCCCCCCAGTAAGTAGTAGTGACAGGCTTATGGTGATTTGGTCAGATAGGTAGAGTGAATCTGGGCACATAGAACTGATTCAAGGCTGGGCGCGGTGGCTCATGCCTGTCATCCCAGCACTTTGGGAGGCCGACGCAGGTGGATCATCTGAGGTCAGGAGTTTAAGACCAGCCTGGCCAACACAGTGAAACCCCATCTCTACTAAAAAAACAAAAAAATAGCCAGGCATGGTGGCGGGTGCCTGTAGTCCCAGTTCTTCGGGAGACTGAGGCAGAAGAATCGCTTGAACCTAGGAGGCAGATGTTGCAGTGAACTGAGATCGCATCACTGCACTCCAGCCTGGGCAATAGAGCGAGACTCCATCTCGAAAAAAAGAAAAAGAAAAAAAAAAACTGACTCAAAGATCATTTAATCTCAATCTGATCATATGCAGTCATCTTTAATCATTATGTATTCACCAAAGTATTAGAATAATCAAGTGCAACATTTAAAATGACCAATTTACAACATTTTTATATCTATTAAAGGAAGGATCTAATGTAGGACAAGACTTAAAGAAATATAAAAAATACTTTCATTTGGTACCTTTCTTGCTCTTTTTATGTCTGGTAACCGTGTTTACCTAGCTGTGTCTCTCCTTGCCTGATTTCCTGGACTAGGACCCAGTAACGTACCATCGCTTCCTCTCCATAAAGGTGTGAGAGACCCTGAGCCCTCCACGATCAGGGCCAAAGGATCCCAGCACAAGGGATGCCGCTGCCTGTTGCCAGCACTAATTCTGTGGGTGACTGTTCTTGGCTAAACCAAAGCCCCAGGGGACATATCTGAATTTCATTGCCTCTCTGCCTGACGTTCTTTCTCTCCGTATGTCAGAAGGGACTGCTTTGCCCACATCCCTTTTGCCTCACATGCGTCCTCCTAGGTGTGAGACAATTTTGCCCCACGTGCGTCCTTCCAGGCGCAAAACAACGGCGTTGGGAGATTTTGTTCTCCACGGGCTCCATCCCTGGAGGACGATGGTCTGGAAATTGCGTTCATCTGTTCTCTGTCACTTCCTTTCAATCTGCTGTTCTAGGGAGGTTTTCCTATTTTCTTGAAAAGTGTAAGTTGGATCAGATGTGTAGCAGTGTTTCACTACAGTCTGGTTTGGCTGGCAGCATAGCCTGGGGAGGTGCCTGGAGGACCCTGGCCTTGATCCTCCATCCCCCAGCATGTGCCATCCTGGTGAAAGCCCAGCGAGGGCTGCCCTTTGGGGTTTCTTCAGTGGGAAACTGCTTTTCCCTCTGTGGTGTCCCCCGTTACAATCAGTATGTTGGACTGGTGCCACCTCCTTCCAGCTGGGAGCGTGACCAGGATCACCCCGATACCAGCCTTGCTCAAAGGAAATGACCAATGAGATTTGTCTGGGGAGTGGGGAGGGTGGCCTGAGAGGGGTGGGAGAAGCCCCGCACCAGCAATCAGGGTGTTGGATGAGGATGCATCAGACCACAGAGCTGAGGAGTCTCCTGGCTCTCAACGTTCTCATCTCCCCCGGGGCAGAGAATGGGACGTTGCTATGGACACCCAAGTCGTTGGAGCCATTCACTCTGGAGATTCTAGCAAGAAGTGCCAAGATTGGCTTGGCATCTGCCCTCCAGCCCAGGACTGTGGTCTGCCATTGCAATGCAGAGAGCCAGTGTTTGTACAACCAGACCAGCAGGGTGGGCAACTCCTCCCTGGAGGTGAGTGTTGGGAGGCAGGTGAGGAGTTTCTGTGCCGAGGGGAGAGGAAACGGGAGTGGAACGGATGCTGTGATTCTGCCTCTCCTGGGTGTGTCTGTGTTGGGAGGTGGGTGGAGCAGATTCCAGTCTCAGGCCATAAACTCACATGGGAAGAAAGAGAACTTTCTGGCTGGGTGCAGTGGCTCATGCCTTTAATCACAGCACTTTTGGAGGCTGAGGCAGGCGGATCACAAGGTCAGGAGATCAAGACCATCCTGACCAACATGGTGGAACCCCATCTCTACTAAAAATACAAAAACTAGCCGGGCGTGGTGGCGGGCACCTGTAGTCCCAGCTACTTGGGAGGCTGAGGCAGGAGAATCGCTTGAACCCGGGAGGTGGAGGTTATAGTGAGCCAAGATTGCGCCACTGCACTCCAGCCTGGGCAACAGAGTGAGACTCCATCTCAAAAAGAAAGAATGAAAAGAAAGGAAAGAAAGAAGGAAGGAAAGAAAGGAAAAGAGAGACAGACAGACAGACAGACAGAAAGAAAGAAAGAAAGAAGAAAGAAAGAAGGAAGGAAAGAAAGGGGAAGGAAAGGAAAGAGAAACAAAGATAAAGAAAAAGGAAGAGAGAAAGAAAGAAAAGAAAAGAAAAGAAAGAAAGAGAAAGAAAGAAACTTGATTGCTTACAGTTCAACCGGACTTTTCTCTCCCCCCTCCCCTCTGCCAGGTTGGCAGGAAGCCTCCACCTCAGTCTTTCTCACAGTGCCCAGTGGTTCCCAGTTCCACAGCTCTGTGGCAAAGCTCAGCAGAGGGCCCTGCGGTGTGGGGTGGAAGGTGGTCGTGGGGTCCCTGGGCATGAGTCCACACAGGTTCCCATCGCAGCTCTGCCCCACTTTCCCTTCAGACCCAGGGAGAGGCTCTGCTGCTTCTGTGCCTTGCTCAGACACAGGACACCTTTTACGAGGCCGCTTACGGTCCTGTCTGCCTAGAAGCACCCCGCAGCCATTTCTCCCTAGGATGTCATCATCACGGTGCTGGGAAGAGAGCTGCTGGTGGCCCTATCTTGACACCTCCGAGCCCCTTTGCTTTCTCTTTTACTCTCTCCCTCTGGCTAAAAGAAACATCTTTTTCAGTTTGGAGAAATTACTTCTCCATGTTTCTAGCCAAGATACTTGGCCTAATTCCACAACTCTTGTCCTATCTGCTTTTTAATTTTTATTTTTGGTTGTAAAGGAAGAGCCAGAAAGTGTTTATCGGGCAACACAAAACTGCTTCCTTCACCCCTTGCACACACACACACGCACACACGCACACACGCACACACACATGCACACACACATGCACATACACGCACACGCACACACGTGCACACACAGACACATACACATCCTTCTGAAGCATGAGCAGAGAATGGGAACTTGAAAGGGATAGAGGTAGTGATGGTTGGTGGGGTGGGGGGTAGAAAAGGATAAAATACACAATGGGAAAAAGACAGATTAAGATCAATCTACTATTCTGGAGATGCCCCAAGCTGCTTCAGTAAAAGGGAGTTAGAAAGGGGAGGGCAGGGAGCTTGGTGAGATATTGGAGCCACAGCCTTTGCTGGGCTGTTGTTCTGGTTGCTGCGTTTTCTCAGTACTTAGCAGGGAGGTTCTGTCTTCTTGGTTTGGGGGTCAGCAAGGGAGGTCAAAATGTCAGCTTATATGAAATCCAGTTTGCAGGCCACATAGGAGCCTGAGGCAGGTGGATTGCTTGAGCTCAGGACTTCGAGACCAGCCTGGGCAATATGGCAAGATGCTGTCTCTACTAAAAATCAAAAAATTAGCTGGGCGTGGTGGCATATGCCTGTAATCCCAGCTATTTGGGAGGCTGAGGTACAATAATTGCTTTAACTCGGGAGGGGGACATTGCAGTGAGCTGAGATCGAGACACTGCACTGCAGCCTGGAAAACAGAACAAGACTGTCTCATAAAAAAAGAAAAAGAAAAATACAAAAACTGGTGGGCATGGTGGTACAAGCCTATAGTCCCAGCTCCTCAGGAGGCTGAGGTGGGAGGATGGCTTGAACCTGGGAGGTGGAGTTTGCAGTGAGCTGAGATCAAAACACTGCACTCCAGCCTGGGCGACGGAGTACGACCCTGTCTCAAAATAAATAAATAAATAAGGAGTCCAGCTTTCAAGCAACAGAACATACATACATGATACATACATGCATGATACATACATACATGGATACATACATACATGGTTACATACATGCATGGATACATACATACATACACGGATACATTCGTTCATTCATTAATGCTTCAATCATTCATGCATCCCCCGTCTTCCTCTAGAAAGGATTTCAGGCAAAGAGCTAGAGTGTGAGAGGGAAGAGGCTGAGATCCTGGTGCAGGGCCAGGCAGGGAGTCAGGGTAAATAATGAACCAGGGAGGCCAAATGGGCAGGAGCACCGTGTGGCTTTAGGCAGGGCCTCGCAGCCCCAGGGCCTGGTCAAGAAGGTACTCACCAGGTGCTGGTGGAGCTGAGACATGACTCAGGCAGGGTCCACGGGTTCTCAGGCCAAAGGGGTCAGTCAGAAACACCCAGAAGCCCCTACCGGTTTGGTCTCCTGGCCGCCTGTGATCAGCAACCTTCCTCCAGATGGCCGGCTGCAAGTGTGATGCGGGCACCTTCGGCCGCTACTGCGAGCGCTCCAAGGACGCCTGTGAGGAGCCGTGCTTCCCGAGTGTCCGCTGCATTCCTGGGAAGGGCTGCGGGGCCTGCCCTCCACACCTGACTGGGGATGGGCGGCACTGCGCTGGTGAGCCGGGAACAGGCCTGGAGGAGGGGCTTCTGGGAGCAGCTCACAGCTCAAGGCTGTAGACACCAAAGGCAAACCATTTCCCTCCCTTTTCCGGCAAGCCTTTAGAATGCTCAATCTAGGTAGGTAATCTAGGCAGGTATGGGAAATGTAGGCAGGTATGGGAAATCTAGGCAGGTCTGGAAAGGGGGTGGCAGAGGGTGTGGTGCTGAAGGAGAAGAGGTTGTACAGGCATAGGGGAGGGGACGGGGCTGAGCATCCCTGAGGCATTGATGGGGGACACCCTGGGCAAAAGACTGAAGATGGTCTGCCCAGGGGAGGAGACTTCAGCAGCGGTCAGGGAACTGGGCAAGCTGCCTCCTCGGGCACCTTGGGGGTCTTCAGAGACACGAGGCCCAGGATCTCTGCATCTCACAAGTCAGGACGTTTGGAGGGGCTGGCGTGGGGATCCGGCAGCAAAGGTGCCTGATTTTCCCTTTGAGTCCTCCCAGCCACCTGTTCCTCCCGCTCCGAGCCACCAGAGTCTGATGAGGGAGATCACAGCAAGGCCTTTACCAAGCCCCCTTAGGCACCCAAATAAAATCTAGAGATCACTGTGCCTTCAGAGCCGAGGCCAGAGGGGGTAGAACCACAGATTCTATAAATGCAGAAGAGGAGACGGAAGTGAGAGGCGAGGGCGTGAGGAAAGCCGGCTGGGGGCCCCTCCTCTGCCAGCATTCAGGGTCCTTTCTGAAGCAGAAGGTGTGAGAAGCACTCCAGTCCCTCTCTAGAAGTGGAAGAATACCTGCCTGGCCGAGGAAAGGGGTTGCCCTGCAGAGAAACACCTGGAAAAGGGGGGAAGGATGGTTTGGGGTTCTGAGTGGCCCACAGCAGAACACTGGGGGAAAGAAAGCAGGCCTGTCCCGGAGCAGGTTTCCACGGGCTGGGCTCTCCCTCCGCTGCCCCGGTGCGCTGCTGCTGACCTCCCTGCTCACTCTGCAGCTCTGGGGAGCTCTCTCCTGTGTCGGAACCAGTCCTGCCCTGTGAATTACTGCTACAATCAAGGCCGCTGCTACATCTCCCAGACTCTGGGCTGCCAGCCCACGTGCACCTGCCCCCCGGCCTTCACCGATAGCCTCTGCTTCCTGGCTGGGAACAACTTCAGTCCAACTGTCCACCTAGGTACCGCCTTCTCACCCCCACGCTCCACCCAGGCCCCGCCCTCTCACCCCCACGCTCCACCCAGGCCCCGCCCTCTCACGCCCACGCTCCACCCAGACTCCACCCTCTCAACCCCCACACTCCACCCAGGCTCCACCCTCTCAACCCGGCACTCCACCCGGGCCCCACCCTCTCATGCCCACGCTCCACCCAGGCCCCGCCCTCTCACCCCAGCACTCCACCCAGGCCCCGCCCTCTCACCCCGGCACTCCACCCAGGCCCCGCCCTCTCACCCCCACACTCCACCCAGGCCCCGCCCTCTCACCCTCACACTCCACCCAGGCCCCGCCCTCTCACCCTCGCACCCTATCCAGGCTCCACCTTCTCACCCCCACTCCACCCAGGCTCCACCCTCTCAACCCCCACACTCCACCCAGGCTCCACCCTCTCACCCCCGCACCCCACCCAGGCTCCGCCCCCTCACCCCCATGCTCCACCCAGGCTCCACCCTCTCACCCCCCGCACCCCACCCAGGCTCCACCCTCTCACCCCCGCACCCCACCCAGGCTCTGCCCTCTCACCACCACACCCCACCCAGGCTCCACCCTCTCACCCCTGTGCCCCACCCAGGCTCCGCCCTCTCACCCCTGTGCCCCGCCCGGGCCCCGCCCTCTCACCGCCACGCTCCTCCCACCTTTGGGGAATGGGATATGATAATGGGATGGGGAAACTCTGGGGTCACAGGACAGCTCCGGATTTCTCTGGGATGGTGTAAGGTGCGGGCTGTAGGAGCTGGCCAGGGCAGCTGTCACAGCAAGGACCACGGGGCTGTGTGGCCTGTGGAGAAAGGACGGAGGCAGAGACCTCACAGCTGGCTCAGTGAGATGAGCGGCCGGAGGCCCGGGGCATAGTGGAGTGAGCGCTAGGGTGAGGGCCACTTCTCCGGTGTCTTCAGTGACCTGTCACTGTGGAATGGAGCCGTCGCCCTGGGCTGGCCCCACGGACTTCTTGGGTAAGTCTGGGTAAACCGTGGGGTGATGATACATTTGCTTCTCCCATCTCTAGAACCTCCCTTAAGAGTCATCCAGCTCTTGCTCAGTGAAGAGGAAAATGCCTCCATGGCAGAGGTCAACGCCTCGGTCAGTGCTGCAGGCCGCGCTCCGGGTGGGAGGGGACGCTTGGCGGGTTCAGGCGAGGGCGGAACCATCCCTGTGCGGCCTTCATCTTGTCATCCATCTGGATTCAATTGCCAGGAGGCCGGAGCCTCTTGCCCCATGGGAGGTGCAGGGCATTAGGAAGTGAGGAAGGCGGGGGACAGAAACCTCAACTCACCATAAGCAGAGGCCAGGGTGCCAAGTCACCCCATCCGAGACCTCTAAGCATCTCGGGTATGATCTGGAAGAAACGAAAGGACGTTTCACCTCCAGGCAGTCTTCCCTGACTTCCCAGAGGGAACTGGGTGCTCCCTGTTCTTGGCTTCCATGCCATACCCCAATCACAGGCAAAGTTGCACAACTGCCGAGTGTTTGAGGCTCTAGAATCCTGCACACTCAGAATCAAAATCTCTGCGCTGCTCCTCACTAGAGCAGGCATGTTAATTACACACATGTAACAGGTCATCTGTAAACACAGGGACAAGCACAGCACCTGAGTCAACAGGCTGTCTCACCGTTTAAATGATGTGCGTCAAGCATTTAGTACGGTGCCCGACACGCAAGTATTCAAACATTCTAATTGCTATTATTACTACTGCAAGCATAGCACTCCCCACTCCACACTCCCCACTCCCTACTTCCCACTCCACTCCCCACTCCACCTCCCCACTCCTACTTCCTCTCCACCTCCCTCTCCACCTCCCCCTCCACCTCCTCCCCACTCCCTGCTTCCTACTCACCCTCCCTCTCCACACTTCCACTCCCTACTTCCCTCCTCCCCTCCGTACTTCCTCCCCACTCCCACACTCCCCTCCACACTCCCCACTCCCTGCTTCCCACTCCCACACTCCCCACTCCCTACTTCCCTGCTCCTCCACTCCCTACTTCCCTCCCCCTCCCCTCCCTACTTCCCTCCTACTTCCTCCTACTTCCCACTCCCTACTTCCCATTCCACACTCCACATTCCCTCTCACCACTCCACTCTCCACACTTCCCACTCCCTACTTCCCACTCCACACTCCCCACTCCGTACTTCCCACTCCCCACTCCACACTCCCCACTCCCCACTCCCCACTCCCCACTCCCCACTCCCCACTCCCCACTCCCTACTCCCCACTCCCCACTCCCCACTCCCCACTCCCCACTCCCCACTCCACACTCCCCACTCCACACTCCCCACTCCCTACTTCCCACTCCACACTCCCCACTCCCTACTTCCTACTCCACACTCCCCACTCCCTACTTCCCACTCCACACTCCCCACTCCCTACTTCCCACTCCCCACTCCACACTCCCTACTTCCCACTCCCCACTCCACACTCTCCACTCCCTACTTCCCACTCCCCACTCCACTCTCCACATTCCCCACTCCCTGCTCCCCACTCCCCACTCCACATGGTGAAATCTGTTGACGTGTCACCTGCACCAGACTGTGCTCTTTGAGTTTAGACTCCACCTGAGTCACCTTGACACCCCCAGCCCCTGACGACCTCCTAGGTCTACTTAACCCATGTTCAGTACACTGGGGAGGGGTCATGAGTCACGCATCAGAGGCGAGGCTGAGGAGGGGACAGAACGGAAAACCCTTCACTCACAACACACATTATTAAGCAAGGACCCGCGACAGTCACTGGGCTAGGTTAGAGTGCGAGGATGCAGAGACGGTGAGGAATGTGCTGGGGTCCTGCGGCTCCCGTTCCAGGAGGAAACAGGGATGGATACACCCATCCAGGTGGGAGGGGGTCTCCCCTGGGGCTCCTGTTCCAGGAGGAAACAGGGATGAATACATGCATCAAGGTGGGAGGGGGTCTCCCCTCTGGATGGGGCCTCACCCCCACCCGCCCATCCCCCATCCTCTGTCCTAGGTGGCGTACATACTGGGGACCCTGGACATGCGGGCCTTTCTCCGCAACAGCCAAGTGAACCGAATGTAAGTGGGACTGTGTCCCCCCTGAGCCCCCAGGTCCTCTTCCTCATCCCCCGCTCCCTGGCCCCCCTCACCGTCACCCTCCCACACAGCGATTCCCCAGCACCGGCCTCGGGAAGCCCCATTCAACACTGGAGGGTCATCTCGGAGTTCCAGTACCGCCCTTGGGGCCCCGTCATCGACTTCCTGAACAACCAGCTGCTGGCTGCAGTGGTGGAGGCGTTCTTATACCAGGTTCCACGGAGGAGTGAGGTGTCCAGGAACCACGTGGTCTTCCAGCCCATCTCCAGGGAAGACGTGTGGGATGTGACAGCCCGTGAGTCCATCCATTCCGGGGACAGTGTGGGGGTCACTGCAGGGGGTGGGTAAACGGAGGTGCTTCCGCCCACACAAACAAGTTAGTTGAGTTTTTCTGTTTGCTTGGTTTTGAGAGAAAACGTGAACATTTTATCCAGCTTCCGTTTAGATTCAAGAGCAGGAGCACCCAGCACTAAGACAGTCACATGTATGCAGCTTCACAGAGCAAGTACCCAGCCAGGGCCTTGCTGACCGTGGCTGCTAATAAAACAGCAGCAATTTATTTTCATAACATTGCTAATAGTTTTCTTAAAATGCCATTGCACTTAAACATATACAAGGACACCCCCATCATGTCTGTCCTCCAGCTGCAGGATATTAAGCTGGAGACTGGAGACTGGCCAGGGACAGAGGCAACTCTTCCCTGAAATGATGGGACTCTGTGCAACCACCTTCCCCAGGCCAGGCCAGGCCTCAACACTCCCCAGCACCTTCCCCAGGCCAGGCTTCAACACCCCCAAGCACCTTCCCCAGGCCAGGCCAGGCCTCAACACCCCCAAGCACCTTCCCCAGGCCAGGCCAGGCCTCAGCACCCCCGAGCACCTTCCCCAGGCCAGGCCTCAGCACCCCCATCTGAAAATGAGATGGGATTTCTGAGCCCCCTTTCCGTGCTGACAGCCCCTGGTTCTCCTGGAACAGGTATAAGTTGGCAAGCTTGTCAGAGTAACAAAGGAATAACACATCCTATTTTCTGTATAGGGCAGAGAATAGGGCAGTGGCCACCTCAAACACAACAGAAAGTGCTGTTTTACTTGGTTCTGGGACCAAGCAAGAGCTTCTCCTAGAATGCAGGCTAAGCCTGCTCTCTCCTGGAGCAGTGGGTGAAATCCCTCAGAACTACTTTATGTTGGGGAGTAACCCTGACTATGCAATTAAGGAAAACCTATAATTTTTATTATACAAGTATCCTATGTTTATTGCAGAAACTTTAGGAAACACAAATTTAACAAAAAGAAAAGAGGAAAAAACCCCTGTAATCCCAATCCCCAGAGAGACAACAATATTTGTACATATTCTTCTGAACTTTCGTTTACACCTAAGAACTTCACATATCGATTTTTTATTGAAGGATCAAATCATTCCTAATGTTTGATAACCTCCTCGTTAAACAATTGTGAACAGATTGTCTCATATATTGTATCCATATTCCCATTTGACATATTATAATGGTAGGTTTGAATATAGTGTCATATTTTAAAATACGTTAGAATAATCATTACCATTTTTTGATTGCTTACTGTGTGTCAGGCAGTGTACTGAGTACTGTGGACATATTACCCCATTTAAATCTCACAGCAGCATAAGTGCTATTATGATCATTTCCTTTTAAAGATAAGGAAACTGACACTGAAAGAGTTAAGAATGTTCCCTGAATTACACATCTAGTTACTAGTAGAGTTTCAGTTTCAACCCGGGTCTGGCCACCTTCAAAGCATACGCTCTTTAGGAAAGCATTTTCCATAGGAAACTTTGTCCATAGGAACTGTCATCCCTTGGTAAGGATGTGCAGTTTATTTAACCCGACCCCACTTCTGGAACGTTGTTACTATTACCCACCACGCTAATCTGAATATGCAGGGGCATATGTATCTGTGCACCTCTCTATTTCTCAGGAGAAACACCTGAAAAGGAATTCGTGGTTGAAAAGGTATTGCTTTAGTGTTCATCAGTTGCTTTCTGTGTTAACCTGTGTCCTTCCCGACAGTGAACGTGAGCACGCTGAAGGCTTACTTCGAATGCAATGGCTACAAGGGCTATGACCTGGTCTACAGCCCCCAGAACGGCTTCACCTGCGTGTCCCCGTGCAGTAGGGGCTACTGTGACCATGGAGGCCAGTGCCAGCACCTGCCCAGTGGGCCCCGCTGCAGGTGCATAGGGCTTCGGCCAGGAGGTGGATGACAGTGCTGGGGAACCCAAGCTGGGCAAGACACCGCAAGGGGCCCAGAAATTAGGATGGCTCCCTTTGTAACGAGAAAGATCGGAGACCAGGGAAGAGGGGACAGTGGGAAGGGAGAGTTGTGAGTGCCTGCTCTGTGTGGAGAATATATTACAAACTCTGAAACCCAAAGGAGCCACAGGGGGTACTGAAACCATTTCGAAGATGAGAAAACTGCAGCTTAAAGATGACAAGGAACTTGCCCGGGGAGCCAGTAGGTTAAGCAGCAGGGCATGGTTTCCAAAGCCAAACATTTTTTATTTTTTATTTTTTGAGATGGAGTGTCATTCCGTCGCCCAGGCTGGAGTGCAATGGTGCGTTCTCGCTCACTGCAACCTCCGCCTCCCGGGTTCACGCCATTCTCCTGCCTCAGCCTCCCGAGTAGCTGTGACTACAGGCGCGCACCACCACACCCAGCTGATTTTTGTATTTTTAGTAGAAACAAGGTTTCGCCATGTTGGCCAGGCTGGTCTCAAACTCTGACCTCAGGTGATCCGCCCACCTCAGCCTTCCAAAGTGCTGAGATTTCAGGCGTGAGGCCCAAAGTCAAACCCTCCCACCTGATCTGGCTGCTGCTTCCCTGCTGTCTCCTTGTGGGGAAGGAACCTGCAGTCCTGTGTCTAGGGCCAGCCCTGCCCCTCAGTCACGGGCGGCGCCTTTGCCCCTGCCCTCACCGGCAGTCCCGCGTCCCGCTGGTGAACAGCGCAGGAAGCCGCGGCGCACGCAGGCCTGGTCTCCGCGCCCTCCGCCTGCTGCGGTTCCAGATCCCGCCCAAGAACGGGATGGGCGGAGCGGGGCCGGGGCCCAGCTCTCCGGGCGGGGCGGGGCCGGGGCGGGGCTGTGACTGCGCATGCCCACTTGTGGCCAGTCGGCATCCCTGCTGCCCAGGCGCAGCTGACTGCACGCGCAGCTGAATTCACTCCACGTTTTTGTTTTTGTTTTTGAGATGGAGTCTCGCTCTGTCCCCCAGGCTGGAGTGCAGTGTTGCAATCTCGGCTCACTGCAAGCTCCACCTCCCAGGTTCAAGCGATTCTGCCTCAGCCTCCCGAGTAGCTGGCACTACAGGTGCGCGCCACCACGCCTGGCTCATTTTTGTATTTTTAGTAGAGATGGGGCTTTACCGTGTTGGCCAGTCTGGTCTTGAACTCCTGACCTCAAGTGATCCGCCCGCCTCAGCCTCTCAAAGTGCTGGGATTCCAGGCGTGAGCCACCAGGCCCGGCCCAGGCCCATGTTTTAAAGCCCACAGCTGCCTCCTTTGCTCAGTGGCCTCACTTCAGCACGGCCTCAGGGCTGACTCAGCCTTTCTCTCCGGAGAGCGGGGCAAGCCCAGCCCCTCCCAGAGAACCTCTTCCCCAGCGGAAGAGGCGGGGCTGGGAGGCTGAGCTCCCGCCTCTGACACGCTGTCTCTCTCTCGGTCCCCAGCTGTGTGTCCTTCTCCATCTACACGGCCTGGGGAGAGCACTGTGAGCACCTGAGCATGAAACTCGACGCGTTCTTTGGGATCTTCTTTGGGTCCCTGGGCGGCCTCTTGCTGCTGGGGGTCGGGGTGTTCGTGGTCCTGCGCTTCTGGAATTGCTCCAGGACCAGCTTCTCCTATCTCCTGCGCTCAGCTGAGGCCTCGCCTTGAAGGGACAGCTGTGGCCTAGGCTACCTCAAGACCCACCCCATCCTCACCGCACACTTAAGGCGCCATTGCTTTTGGGAGACTGGAAAAGGGAAGGTGACTGAAGGCTGTCAGGATTCTACAAGGGGAGTGAATACTGGGACTCAAGACAAGACTATACCTTATCCATAGGTTCAGGTGCACAGGGGGAGGCCATAATGACAAGCGTGGAGGGGTCCTCACGCAGACACCCCCACAGAAGGACACTGGCCTGTGCACGCGTGCGTGCACATACACACACACACACACACACACACTAGAGTTCATAATGCAGTGATGGCCCTAAGTTAAGCAAAATAATTCTGCACACAAAACTCTCTGGTTTACTTCGAATTAAAGTGTATTTAATAAAGCTGTCTAACTTTTTGTGTCTTCAAAACCAGGGATTCCATTCCTGATTTTCTTCTGGTGGCCAAAGGACTGGGCACAGGCTTCTCCCAACCGTCCGAGGACACAGTGTGTGGAGGTTAAGTGTTGGGCAGGCAGTGGAGCAGTAGGGGCAGCTGGATCCAGTCCTAATCAGCCCGGTCACCCATGCTGGAAATCCTCAGTTGCTCCACCCTAACCTTGCTTCAGGCTCCACATCTTCTTCTTCCCCCACCCCAGCACAGGCCAAAGCTTCCCCTCTGAGGAGGAGGGCGAAAGAGATACCCCAAGATGGAGTGCCCCAGACTCTCTCCCAGGACCCCTCCCCACCTGCCTGTCCATCAATTTCACAAAGTCATAGAAGGGTCAGTGTACGGTGCGTTTTCCTGTCTGGTGGCTGTCCCCACCGCCTGTGTTTCATGGAAGAGGGATTACACCATTTCAGCTCCCTTTCCAGGAACCAACTCAAGAAACATGCCACCACCCCACCCTTAGATCTGGAGGACCCAATCCCTAATATACCTTCTCTGTCCTTTCCCGGACCCCAGATGGAGTCTTCTGAGGTTCTCCATCCCACAGCCCCACAGCCCTTCAGCCCTACCCTGCCTCCACTTGTCCCCAGCAACCTGATCAGCTTCCACATAATCCTCTCAGCAGGCAGGACTTTTACACCTATCTGGTGTAACAATTCCAACACCATTGGTCCCCAATTCCTGTGTCTAGAAATTCTCAATTCTGCAAAACTTTATGCAGAAACTAGGTGGCTGCCTCTTAGTTCTAAATCCCAAATCCCTGAAGAGAGAAACTGACTGGTCCAATTTACATCAGTTGTTTATGCCTGGTCCAATAAAATGCAGTCATGGGGTCAGAAAGGAAGTCACATGGTGCAAAGCAGGTGTTCAAGCTCACTCTTGCGGGTGGGTAAACGCTGTTGAAGGAAGCTCCCAAAGGAATATCTTTGGTTGGGCACAGTGGCTCACGCCTGTAGTCCCAACACTTTGGGAGGCTGAGGCGGGCGGATCACTTGAGGCCAAGAGTTTGAGACCAGCTTGGCTGACATGGTGAAACGCTGTCTCTACTAAAAATACAAAAATTAGCTGGGCGTGGGGGCACGTGCCTGTAATCCCAGCTACTCAGGAGGCTGAGGCAGGAGAATCTCTTGAACCCAGGAGGTGGAGGTTGCAGTGAGCTGAGATCATGCCACTGCACTCCAGCCTGGGTGACAGAGCAAGACTGTCTCAAATATATATATATATACACATATACACACACACACACACACACATATATATATATAAATACATATGATCTTTGTATTAGTCAGGGTTCCCTAGAGGGACAGGGCTAATAGGATAGATGTATATATAAAGGGGAGTTTATGAAGGAGTATCGACTCACACGATCACAAGGTGAGGTCCACAATAGGCCATCTGCAAGCTGAGAAGCAGGGAAGCTAGTCTGAATCCCAAGATCTCAAAAGTAGGGAAGCCGACAGTGCAGCCTTAAGTCTGTGGCCAAAGGCCTGAGAGCCCCTGGCAAACCACCGGTGTAAGTCCGAGAGTCCAAAAGCTGAAGAACTTGAAATCCGATGTTCGAGGGCAGGAAGCATCTAGCACGGGGGAAAGATGAAGCCTGGAAGACTCAGCTAGTGTAATCCTTCCATGTTCCTCTGCCTGCTTTATTCTAGCTACACTGGCAGCTGATTAGATTGTGTCTACCCAGATTGAGAGTGGGTCTGCCTCTCCCAGTCCACTGATTCAAATATTAGTCTCCATTGCCAACACCCTCACAGAGATACACCCAGGAACAATACTTTGTGTCCTTCAGTCCAATCAGGTTGACACTCAATATTAACCATTGCAGTCTTTGATCTGAGCAGACTCCAAACTGTCTACATTACATGGAGAATGACTTCTCCCAATAGGTGAAGTCACTCTCCTATGTACAAAGCTGTAGCTTTACCCTCATATGCCCCAAAGTGGAATGTAATGAAGTCTCTATACAAAACCATAGTCACAACATTCATTTATCAAGAAGCAAGCACACAACATAGATGACTTAGCTGGTGAATTTTACCAAATATTTAAGGGGAAATAATGCCTATTTTCTATAATCTTTTCTGGAAGACAGAAGCAGGAGGAATACTTCCTAAGTCATTTGTCAGTGTCACCCTAATACCAAAACCAGACAAAAACATTACAAGACGACTGACTATAGACCAATATCTCTCACATAGATGCAAAAATTACCAACAAAATATTAGCAAATTGAGTTCAACAATACGTAAAAAGAATTATAGGCCATCACCAACAGGGATTTATCCCAGGTATGCAAGACTGGTTCAATATTCAAAAATCAGCTAATGTAATCTGTTACATCAACAAACTAGAGAAGAAAAATATTCAAAAATCAGCTAATGCAATCCGTTATGTCAACAGGCTAGAGATGAAAAATCACATGATCATATCAGTGGATGTAGGAAAGGCATTCAACAAAATCCAACCCTGCTCATTATTTAAAAAAAAGAAAAAAACTCTCAGTAAATTAGAAATAGGAACTTCCTCAACTTGATAAAGGATATCTACAAAAACTGAGCTGGGCCCGGTGGCTCATGCCTATAATCCCAGCACTTTGGAAGGCTGAGGCGGGCGAATCACAAGGTTAGGAATTCAAGACCAGCCTGGCCAATATGGTGAAACCCTGTCTCTATTAAAAATACAAGGAGTAGCCAGGCATGGTGGTCAGCGCCTGTAGTCCCAGCTACTCGGGAGGCTGAGGCAGGAGAATTGCTTGAACCCGAGAGGCGAAGGTTGCAGTGAGCTGAGAACGCACCCTGCATTCCAGCCTGGGCGACAGAGTGAGACTCTGTCTAAATAGACAAATAAATAAAAGAATATCTACAAAAACCAACTGCTAACATCATCCTTAATGGTGAGAAACTAGATGCTTTCCCCTAAGATGAGGAAGAAGGCCAGGATGTCCCCTCCTACCAATTTTCAACATCATACTGGAGGTCTTGGCCAATGCAACAAGACACAAAAGGGAAATAAAAGGTATACAGAATAAAAAGGAAGAAATAAAACTGTTTTTGTTCACAGATGACACAATCATCTATGTAAAAAAATCTAAGAGTTGACAAAAGGAAAAAACCCCAGAACAAAGAAGCAATTTCAGCCAAGTTTCATGATGTAAGGTTAGTGTCCCAGCGTCAATGGCTTTCGTGTGTGCCAGCAAAGAACAATTGGAATTTAGAATTAAAAACATTTGAGCAAGATAGGAAGCAAAAAAAAGAAAAACTAATAATAAAATTAAATACACATTACCATTTACATTAGCATCCCCCAAAATGAAATACTGAGGTATAAATGTAACAAAATATGTACAAGATCTATATGAGAAAAACTATAAAACTCTGATGAAAGATATCAAAGAACTTCATAAATGGGATGACATTCTATGTTTATGGACAGGAAGATTCAAATTTATTTTATTTTATTTTTGAGACGGAGTCTCCCTCTGTCACCCAGGCTGGAGTGCAATGGCGCCATCTCAGCTCACTGCAACCTCAGCCTCCCAGGTAGCTGGGATTACAGGTACACATCACCATGCCTAGCTAGTTTTTTTGTATTTTTAGTAGAGACAGGGTTTCAACATTTTGGCCAGGCTGATCTCAAACTCCTGACCTCAGGTGATCCACCTGCCTTGGCCTCCCAAAGTGCTGGGATTATAGGTGTGAGCCACTGCGCCAGGCCAGAAGACTCAGTATTATTAAGATAGCAGTTCTCAATATTATCAAGATAGCAACAGATCAAGATAGCCAACTTGATCTACAGATTGTACATAATAACACAATCTTAATCAAAATCCCAGGAAGTTATTTGTAGAGATTGATAAACTGGCTCTAAAGTTTATGTGGAGAGGCAAAAGATCCAAAATAGCCAACTCAGTATTGATGGAGAACAGTCGGAGGACTGATATCACCTGACTTCAAGGCTTACTCTAAAGCTATAGTCATGAAAACTGCATGATACTGGCAAAAGAATAGACAAATAGATCAATGGAACAGAACAGAGAGCCCAGAATATTAAAAGTAATATTTCTAATCGGCCTGTATGCATGTGTCAACTGATCTTTGACAAAGGAGCAGAGGCCATGCCATGGAGCAGAGATAGTGTTTTCAACAAACGATACTGGGACAACTGGACATTCACACGCAAAAAATAAATATATTTATATATAGACACAGACCTTATACCTTTCATAAAAACTCAGAATGAATCATAAACCTCAATAAAATGAAAATGAAAAACTGAAAGACCCAAGAAGATAACATAGGAGAAAATCTAAATGACCTGGGAGATGGTGATGACTTTTTAGATACGATACCAAGGGCATGATCCATGCAGGAAATAATTGATGAGCTGAACTTCATTAACATTAAAAACTTCCTCTCTGTGAAAGACAATGGCAAGAGAATGAAAATATTTGCAAAAGTCCCATCTGATTAAAGACTGTTATCTAAAAATACACAAAGAGCCAGGTGCACTGGCTCAGACCTGAAATCCCAGCACTTTGGGAGGCTGAGGTAGGCGGATCACTTGAGGTCAGGCGTTTGAGAACAGCCTGGCCAACATGGGGAAACCCTGTCTCTATTAAAAATACAAAAATTAGCTGGGTGTGGTGGTGCATGCCTGTAATCCCAGCTACTCAGAAGGCCGAGGCAGGAGAATCGCTTGAACCTGGGAGGCGGAGATTGCAGTGAACTGAGATTGCACCACTGCACGTCAGCCTAGGCAAAAGAGTGAGATTCTGTCTCAAAAAATAATAATATTTAATTAATTAAATATACAAATAACTCTTACAACTCAACAATAAGAAAATGAACAACCCAATTTTTTAAATGGGTAAAAAACCTGAACATACATATCACCAAAGAAGGTATTCACATGGCACATAAGCATCTAAAAAGACGTTCAACATCATTAGGGAACTGCAAACATCGCACAACCAATA